TTTAAACTTTACTAAAAGCATAAAAAATAAAGAATAAAAGGAATATAATTATTCCAGTGGCACATTATACATAACATTTATATCTTCATTCATATAAGAATTAATATAATTAATTAAATTCATATTTTAATGTGCTAATTGTAGCATGACATTTTTATTATATGTAATTCACAATGTTCTTGTATATCAGTAAAGGAAATATGACTAGATAAGATATAAAAGCTCCTCGGTCCCCTCTTCGTTTTTTTTCCCTGGTAGTTATATTTTACTGTTTATAAGTGTAAATTATATGCAAATATTAAAAGAAATCTGTCTAACATTTTATTTAAAAATATTTCTGTTCTTTGGAAATAATATGTACATTTTGTAAATCACAATTTATTAATTACTGATGATAGCAGTCCGTCTAATTTGGTTCTTAACTAAATCTATAAAATTCTTAATTGATAATTTGGATCGAATTTATACTCTCAATGCATTGTGCGTAAACTTAAATCCTTGACTGTTTATAGTATTTATAAGAATAAAGAACTTAGTTCACTATGTATCAAATGCGGCCCTGTGATTTTCGAAAAATTAAACTTTCCTGCAGAAAGTCACCAAATACCTTAATCAACACTACTCAATGTGTATTCTTGAAATCTGCATTTGATTGTTGTCAGGGAAGCCTCACGTGCTTAACATAAATGTTAAAACCAGACATGGTGCCTCAAATTTACCTGCTTTTGAGGAAATTCTGAACTTCATTGTCAAAATTAACATGGGCGCCATGCTACGCCCACATTACTCTTTGCATAAAATTTAACATTAGAAAATACCAAAACTATGTGACTAATTTTAATTTTGGGCGAGACGTGGCGCCATACTTTATTATTTAATTTCAGAAAATCGCTGTATTCCGGAGTCAATAATTACCTATTTAATTTGGAGAAAAAAACGGAATAAATATAGATAACATAATGAAGAAAACTAAAAATATTTTAATAAAAATGAATAAACTTGTGTATATAGCTGAACATTTCCTTCGACAAGCACACGTACAAAACAATTTCTGATTTGGGAAAATCCAAATTCTAAAAATAGACCATAATTCTAGAAGATGCGGATCGAAGCAAGCAATCAAGATGTATTTAAAACAAGAGGCCCATGGGCCACATCGCTCACCTGAGTAACTTTGGCCATGCTGTTCTTTACCAGATTTCCCCCTTGTAATACTTATTGTGGCCCCGCCCTACCCCCGGGGGTCATGATTTTAAGAATTTAAAATCTACACTATCCCAGGATGCTTCCACATAAGTTTCAGTTTTTCTGGCCCAGTTGTTCTTGAGAAGAAGATTTTGAAAGATTTTTCTTACATATTTCAATGTAAAACTTGTAATACTTATTGTGGCCCCGCCCTACCCCCAGGGGTCATAATTTTTACAATTTAGCATCTCCACTACCCCAGGATTCTTTCACATAAGTTTCAGTTTTTCTGGCCCAGTTGTTCTTGAGAAGAAGATTTTTAAAGATTTTTCTTACATATTTCAATGTTAAACTTGGATTCCCTATTGTGGCCCTGCCCTATCCCCGGGGGTCATGATTTTAACTATTTAGAATCTCCACTACCCCAGGATGCTTCCACATAAGTTTCAGCTTTTCTTGCCCAGTGGTTCTTGAGAAGAAGATTTTTAAAGATTTTTCTTATATATTTCAATGTAAAACTTGGATTCCCTATTGTGGCCCCGCCCTACCCCCGGGGGTCGTGATTTTAACAATTTAGAATCTACACTACCCCAGGATGCTTCCACATAAGTTTCAGCTTTTCTTGGCCAGTGGTTCTTGAGAAGAAGATTTTTAAAGATTTTTCTTATATATTTCAATGTAAAACTTGGATTCCCTATTGTGGCCCCACCCTACCCCCGGGGGTCATGATTTTAACAATTTAGAATCTACACTACCCCAGGATGCTTTCACATAAGTTTCAGTTTTTCTGGCCCAGTTGTTCTTGAGAAGAAGATTTTTAAAGATTTTTCTTACATATTTCAATGTTAAACTTGGATTCCCTATTGTGGCCCTGCCCTATCCCCGGGGGTCATGATTTTAACTATTTAGAATCTCCACTACCCCAGGATGCTTCCACATAAGTTTCAGCTTTTCTGGCCCAGTGGTTCTTGAGAAGAAGATTTTTAAAGATTTTTCTTATATATTTCAATGTAAAACTTGGATTCCCTATTGTGGCCCCGCCCTACCCCCGGGGGTCGTGATTTTAAAAATTTAGAATCTACACTACCCCAGGATGCTTCCAAATAAGTTTCAGCTTTTCTGGCCCAGTGGTTCTTGAGAAGAAGATTTTTAAAGATTTTTCTTATATATTTCAATGTAAAACTTGGATTCCCTATTGTGGCCCCGCCCTACCCCCGGGGGTCATGATTTTAACAATTTAGAATCTACACTACCCCAGGATGCTTCCACATAAGTTTCAGGTTTTCTTGCCCAGTGGTTCTTGAGAAGAAGATTTTTAAAGATTTTTCTTACATATTTCAATGTTAAACTTGGATTCCCTATTGTGGCCCCGCCCTACCCCTGGGGGTCATGATTTTAACAATTTATAATCTCCACTACCCCAGGATGCTTCCACATAAGTTTCAGCTTTTCTGGCCTAGTGGTTCTTGAGAAGAAGATTTTTAAAGATTTTTCTTACATATTTCAATGTAAAACTTGGATTCCCTGTTGCGGCCCCGCCCTACCCCCAGGGGTCATGATTTTAACAATTTACAATCTACACTATCCCAGGATGCTTCCACATAAGTTTCAGCTTTTTTGGCCCAGTGGTTCTTGAGAAGAAGATTTTTTAATGACCCCACCCTATTTTTGTCTTTTCTTGATTATCTCCCCTTGTAAGGGGACTTGGCCCTTTATTTTAACAATTTAAATTCCCCTTCACCCAAGGATGCTTTGTACCAAGTTTGGTCAAAATTGGCCCAGTGGTTCTTGAGAAGAAGTCAAAAATGTGAAAAGTTTACAGACAGACAGACGGACGGACGGACGACGGACAAAATGTGATCAGAAAAGCTCACTTGAGCCTTCGGCTCAGGTGAGCTAAAAATAGAACAGGTCTGGTATCAACATGATGAAAAGTGCATTTACCGAAACTAAAAGGAAGTCTAGATTTATGAGGTAATTAAGTTGCATTTTTCAAATATATGAATATATATACAAGCCTACTGTAACTCGTCTCGATTTGCTGTCGTCTGCAGGCGATTCCATGCAGAAAGAAATGTAGCTTCGTCTGATGTAGAGAACCCATGACAAAAAAATAGTGGTTAGTTATGTTAACCACTTTTATTTTGCTGACTACTAATCACAATTATCATATAATGGAAAGTTAAGCAGTATACTAGTTACACAGATCGTTTGCTTATATTTGAGGTAATTCGGACTAGGCTTGAAAATATTGAATGTTGAATGCGAGCATATTGCCACAATGAATGTTTTAAAGATTTTTGTCAATTGTTATAAATATAAATAAATATGGGAAGAAAATACTAGAAGTAACTTTATTGTACATGCATGATGGTGCACAGACACCTTTCCCAATTAATGTACCATACAATTTTTTTTTTCATTTGAAAGGTCCTTTTGGTCATCTTTTGTAAACATAACACTGGTGTAAGTTAGTTAAAGCATTTGTTTACTCACTTTCTTTCTTCATAGCTATTATATGCTTGTGCCCCCCCCCCCCCAAATAATGTCTGATGACTTTTTGACCACCTTTTTTTTGACTTGACAAGGAATTTTTGAAATTTTGGTAGTGCCCTCCAAACTGAAGATGTTTGACTGCCCTCACCCCCCACCCCCTCCTCCAACTGAAATTGCATACAGGCCTGTATATGATATTCATTGCAGTTGATTTTGTGGGTCAAATGCAAGTTATTTTATGTAAAAGAAGCCATAAATAGTACCCTGTCACACCTATTTAAGTTACTGATTTTAACTAAATACTATACATGTACATGAATTTATCATTATGTACATATTTTTAGGTTTCTTTTTTCTTCTTATATTGCAGTCTTAATGTGATAAAATGCCTGGACAGAAAGTATAGACTACTTTGAATGCATTTTATGCTCAAAAAGAACAAAACCAACTGACAGAAGAACAATCAATAAAGATATAAAGAAGTATCTCCAACGTAAGTTCCTAATCGAGGCTCCTGACAAGTCTGTAACATGCATAAATGTCGTCATGTTTAAAGAACTGAAACTGGAAAAACAATTGTGTACGCCCCTGTTCACTGTGCTTCAGTGTCAATTTCTGATGACTCTAACAGTAAGAAAAAGAATATGTCTAGTCCACCATCTGTGTCTCTGACTTTGGCTTCTACAGCAAAAACCCATGCTTATTGTTGTATCTGCAAAAAACCTGGGCCAAAATTAGTAGTGGTTCCAACTGAAAGTCGCACAAATGTTTTTGTTGAGAAGAATATTCTTATTCCCCCAGGGAACAGGTGTTGTCCTGTGCATTTAGATAGTAATGGAATGTTCACAAGTGATGCTGTTCAACTGAAAATGCCTTCTTAAATAGAACAACCATTTCAGAACTATTACAGTAAATGCGCATATTATGTCAGAGAAATGGAAAACAGTTTTGGGACTTTGATGATCCGAAAAATCTGACAGACACAGACTACAAGTCATTATTAGGAATCAACAAGGAAAACTTTCAAGAAGTATGTGACTCTGTGCAGGGTTTTGTTAAGAATACACCAGCAAGAAGCTTGACTACCTCTGTTGCAATCTTTTTTTGTAAAATGAAAACTGGACTATCAAATTTGATACTATCAACTTTATTCCGCACATCCAAATCCAGCTTAAGAAGAGCTATATCTGCAGTCAGAAAAGCATTGATGACTACATTTGTTCCAAAATATCTCCGTTTTGGTCACATTTCAAGTGTTGAAATCATCAGTAACCACACCAGACCCCTTGCTCAAACTTTATTTGGAAGTGTAGATCTTAGTATTGGATGGAACTTATATCTACGTGAACAAAAGTAACAATTTCCATTTCCAGCGTAGATCATTCAGCATGCACAAAGGGAGACCCCTCATTAAGCCAATGGTGGTTGTAACAACAACGGGATATTTTGTCTCCATTTTGGGCCCTTATTTAGCTGATAGAAAGAATAATGATGCTTCCATCCTTACACACATCATCAACAGTAACGCTGAAAGTATTCGCTCCTGGCTTAATGAGGATGACATATTCATTGTGGATAGGGGCTTCAGAGATGTTCTACCTTTGCTAGCAGATTTGGGGATCCAGGCAGAGATGCCAAGGTTTTTAGAGGCTGGTCAAAAGCAGATGTCGACTGAAGATGCCAATATGAGTCGACTAGTGACAAAGGTAAGAATGGGAATTAGATATATAGATTTTTATATTCATATTCAAACCTCTTTATCTCGAACTCAATGAGACCAAAAAAAAAATACTTCAAGATATCCGAGGATTCAAAATATCCAGGGTAAAATACTTAAGGAATAAGTGTTTGGGACTTCCAAATCACTTCGACATATCCATGGTATTTGAGATATCAGTGTTTGAGATACCGAAGTTCAACTGTACATAACTACATATATCTAAAAATTTATTTGCTGACATTCATACTTGCACTAATAGATAGTCTGTTTACTACATTCTTACACATAGCATACCAGTGCATGAACAGTTATTTAACTCTATTTCTGGAACATGCTGGAAACAACATTTATTTTCATGATGTTTCAGGTCAGATGGGTCATAGAATCATCTAATGCCCGTATCAAGAGATGGAGATATCCGGACCGTACACTACCAACCCATCAAATTCCATTCATTGGAGACTATATACGGATTGTGTGCGCAGTATCAAACAGATTTTCACCTCCACTGAGTTTGTCGAGCAGCAGAGAAGAGGATGATGCAGAAGCTGCTAAAATGCTTCACCTATCCAAGCAAGTCTCTTATTTTTTTTCAAAGAGAAATAGTTTTAAGTATTGTGACTGTAAATTTCAACATATGCAAAATTTACAACTAATGTTTATCATTTATTTACTCCAACTAAAAAATGTTCTGGAACAGTGTGAAATATGTTATTGAAATTGCTTTTAAATCAGGTTCATCACTTGAAGGCCTTCATTGAGGAGAAGGGATTGCAAAGAAAAACTGCTGTATGGAAACCACCTCTGAAGTGGATTTGGATTCATTTCCTATACTCGATGACGAAGAACTCAGAAATCTGACTTGTGGTACTTACCAATTGAAATTATCCTCCAGTTACATGCAAGAGCACATGGATGGTGAAAGATATTTATTTCCATGAAGAGGACAATACACTGCTCAGAGCAAAGATCCAGAGTAGGCATACATCTTCTAAGAAGTACCAACTGTGGATTCGTTACAGCGAGAGTACAGTGGAATCTTGGTATTGCACATGTAGAACAGGTGCTCGAGTAGTTGGGATGTGCTCGCATATTGCAGCAGTCACATGGTATCTAAGTGGTGCAAGGCACAGAGAGAAATCATTTGGAGTGCGGGATTGGAGCAGAAATGTCTTGGATGCAGCCAATATTCCTCCAGTCATTGATGATTCAGACAGTGAGAGTGGAGAAAGTTTGCCGGAAGAGTGATTTTAATGCTCTACCATAAATATGACTGCGGCATATAGTGTTTGTCATGTCTGTCTTCCGTCCCTCCATCCTTCCGTCTTTCTGTCCCTCCGTCTTTCCGTCACACTTTGCGTTTAACTCAGTTTAAAAAAAACTATTCAAGATATTTCTATCAAACTTTATATGCAGATACATATTGATGAGAACTATTCAAATTCATCAACATTTTTAGACCTTGACCTTTCCATTGACTTTTCCTTTCTTAAATTTTTGTTAAGCTTAGTTTTAAAGAAACTATTCATGATATTTTTATCAGATTTCATATGCTTAAACATATTGATTAGAGCTGTTTGATCTTGGATGATATTAATGCTCTTTTAAATATAAAAGAATTAAAAAATAATGCTTAATATTGTGATTTTAGGCTTTTAGCTCAAGTGACCTTTTTTGATCACATTTTGTCCGCCATCTGTCTGTCCTTCTTGTTTGATTAAATAAACTTGAAGAATATGTATATGCAAAAATTTAGAGAATAATATACATACTTATGTAGTAGGCAAATGATGATATGTTGATAAAAATATATTCAAGCATTAATTGAAATAACTGAAATTGATTCTGCATCTTTGTCTTATATCTGCTAATAAATAATATTGCAGGGATGTCATTTCCAACAGTTTTTAGAATAGAAAGTTTTTATAATTCATGTGAGATTTAAATATTATTACTGTTTATACAAAAGAAAAATCTGGTTGCTATCACATTGACAGCTTACTCGTTGTTTATTGTCTCCTGCATGTGTTTTATATAGTCATATGCTGTAACGGGAAATTCCACATGTAGATGACTGTTGTTATGTGAAATCGTAAGTACCGGTAATGATATTGTTATTATGACTGTTATGTGATATCATAAATCCTAAGTAATTATATTGTTATTTATTTATTTCAATGCAATAAATACCAAGTCATACTAATTGTGTAGTTTTTTTTTATAACTAAACACATACATTGAACATGCTTACATGTATTTTATAAAACAAAAAGTTGTCTTACCTATCATGAGAAATATATGTTAACTTATGGAGGTTAAAATTTTACCTAGTAAAGCTATTGAGAAAGAAATTCAAATATATTAGTAATTTTATGACATTATTCCTTTACTACCCTATATAAGGAAAGAGTCTTCTTTATCATGTACAAATTTGTAAAATGTCAGCTAGGATGTCATATTTTTTCAGAAATCCAATATTTGGCTCTTAATTAAATTACAAGTACCTTAAAGTTGAAAAATAAAAGCTATTTACCCCATGTTTCAGAACTTCTTTATAGAAAACTTGTGATAAAATAGTGGATTTCATTCCATTAATGTACATGCTTACCATTTTGTGCATATCAAAATGCTAAAAAATAACATCATGACGTTAAAGTATACAGCAGCAACGTCATGACATTGTAACATTCACTTAGAAAACAATACCAAATTAAAATGACTGTAAAAAGAAAACTAAAAAAGATATTAATATAAAATAAATTGTTTTATAACCAGTCGATCTTAACATATTATTAGAGAAAGTTTCATCCATTTTGGTGACAGGGCCAATTTTGGTACTTCGTGGCTTTTGTTCTTTGTCTTATGTCCATTCTGAGATACATAATTCACAACAAGAACTGCATCTATTCAAATGTACTTGCATGAATGATTTTTTTTTTTTAAACAAACAGTATTTATTTTAACGAGGTTGGATCCTGATATTTAAAGTCTTAAACTTTTTTTGTCAAGTATATTTTTAGTTTCTACACACATAGCTTAATTAAAAATCAAAACAAAAAATGGGGGTCGATATGCTTCTTTTGGCAATACAGTACATTTAATATGACCTTTTTGCACTAAAATTTGTGTTTTAATCAAAAATCACATCTTCGACGTTTTCCCTCCAAAGTTTTTATCCAAATAAATCATGGGACAAAATAAACTATTAGTCTATTCAAAAAAAGACACATTAAAATTGAGACTAAGAAAAAATTTCAAATTGCTTCGCATAATCAATTATGTGACCTTTCTGCACTCACAAAATGTGATTTTTCTGGCATTAAAAATTTAACAAGAAAGAAAATTATTTTAAATTCTTAAACTTTTTCTGAAATTAAGCAGATTGATCAAAGTTATCTTATATATTCAGAAAAGAAAAACAAGAGTGGGGGTCTATGATCTAAATTTTTAGTTATTACCAAAAAAGTGTTAATTTTATGTTAAAATTGGCTCAATTTTTTCCTGGACTTTCAGAATATATTCACTATATTTGTCACAATATAATGAAAGAATTCATAAGAAATAATTTTATGGATATTTCAGAACCAGCATAAAACATTTCACTGAAAAAAAACAGCTCTGTTTGCAACCAGCATGGAAAACTAGGAATCTAAACTTAACATTTCTGTATATATTTAAAAAGGGAAGAATTGATAATTTTCTTCTAAAAAACCTTCTGCCACAAAATATAGTTCCTGGCTTTATCCTACTTGAATGGAATTTAATCGCGGTTTTTTCATTTGATAAAGTTTAATTTGCATTTTAAAATCCAGATTTAATGTTAGAACTTAAAGATGATGCAGAATTTTAGAAATAAAGGTCCAGACCAAAATCTGCCCAAAAGCTCAGGATCGAACCTCCTTAAATTGACAACTTACATTTAGAAACCAAAAAGAAAAGTATGATCCTTGGTTTTTAAAAAGAAATTACATCATTATGCAGTGAAACTTTTATTTACGATATGATATTAGAAATTAATCAGTTTCTCATTATCGATGAGCACACGCGAGATTGACTTGGGTTTCCAATGTAACAATGATTATTTGTCAAGTGGTGCTATATTCGTTGTTTATTATTTATCCAAAAATAGAAATAAAGACTTTCCAAGACATTTTGTCACAGGGGATCATAGAAAAATGCAATGTGTTAGTTTGCCTTTTCCCTATTCATGCCTTTAGTTCAAATTTTAGCCGGTTTTTCTTCCTTTGGGGGGGGGGGGGGGGCATGAACTGAAATTCCCTGACAATTAAACAGTTCCTTGAGAAATTTCCTTGATAAATGATCCTGTAAAACTAAGTATACGTATGTTACCTGCTCATGTTCACTGTTCATATTATCACATTTATCCACACTTATGGAAAACTCGCAAAATTTATTACAGCATGTGAGAAATTTAGCTATATAATTATATCAATTATTGAATTTTTTTTTTTTTGGGGGGGGGGGGGGATCTGCTAGAAAAAAAATCACTCAGGTTTATTCTAAATACAAATAGTCCCTATAACTCAAATTTTTTTTTTGTTGCTATGGAGAATTAAAAATAATACAGATATACCATGATATCTAACATATAACAAAAGAAAGAAAAATGTGTTTCATCAAAATGATTTAATTTAATCGGTCTGGGAAATAAAGTGATCTGCCTACCTGCTACACAAAACGTCACAATGGCGGAAGTGGCGCCTCGGTGTACGTTTTTGTGTGTTTATGTCGACAGACAAGCCAAGACTACAAAATTTGGATATTTTTTGTGTTATTCTTCTGGGATTATTTTATGTGGGTTCGATGAACATTTATTGTCGCAAATGTTGTAATGGAATCCTTTCTGTTGAATGACCCGAAACAGCAAATAAAAGACGAAAGAAGTGGGGGATGTGTTTTTATCACGATCTATACATGAAAATATTGCATAAACAATTGAATAAAAGGTCAATTCAATCATTGAATCAACATATTAGTGCATTTTTCGAAAAAAGGTCGCATATAACAACGAAAATAAAGATTTTTCTCAAATCTCAGCTTACGTGAGACGAATCTCAGAAACGTTGGTGGCATGGTGTTTTAGGAAAATCTCAGCTGAGGCAGAAATCTAAGATTTGAGGTTGAGATTTGAGCTGAGATTTTTATATGTTGGTGGTCCCGAAGCCTGCACTACTCCAGAATGCTTCCACATAAATTTAAGTGTTTCTGGCCCAGAGGTTCTTGAAAAGGAGATCTTTTAAAGATTTTTCATATAAATTTCAATAAAAACTTGGATTCCCTATTGTGGCCCCACCCTACCCCTGGGAATCATGATTTTAACAATTTAGAATCTACACTACCCCAAGATGCTTCCACATAAGTTTCAGCTTTTCTGGCCCAGTGGTTCTTGAGAAGAACATTTTTAAAGATTTCTCTTATATATTTCAATGTAGAACTTGGATTCCCTATTGTGGCCCCACCCTATCCCTGGGGGTCATGATTTGAACAATTTAGAATCTACACTACTTGAGGATGCTTCCACATAAGTTTCAGCTTTTCTGGCCCAGTGGTTCTTGAGAAGATCTTTAAAGATTTTTCCTATACATTTCAATGTAAAACTTGGGATTCCCTATTGTGGCCCCGCCCTACCCCCTGGGGTCATGATTTTAACAACTTAGAATCTACACTACCCCAGGATGCTTCCACATAAGTTTCAGCTTTTCTGGCCCAGTGGTTGTGGAGAAGAAGATTTTTAAAGATTTTTTCCTGTATATTTCAATGTAGAACTTGGATTCCCTATTGTGGCCCCGATCTATGCCTGGGGGTCATGATTTTAACAATTTAGAATCTACATTATCCCAGAATGCTTCCACATAAGTTTCAGCTTTTTTTGCCCAGTGGTTCTTGAGAAGAAGATTTTTTAAAGACCCCACCCTATTTTTGTCTTTTCTTGATTATCTCCCCTTGTATGGGGACTTGGCCCTTTATTTTAAGAATTTAAACTCCTCTTCACCCAAGGGTACTTTTTACCAAGTTTGGTTACAATTGGCCCAGTGGTTCTTGAAAAGAAGTTGAAAATGTGAAAAGTTTACAGATGGACGGACAGACGGACGATGGACAATGGTGATCAGAAAAGCTCACTTGAACTTTCAGCTCAGGTGAGCTTAAAAACCAAGTGTGGTCCTTAGTTTCAAATATTAAATGAACAACCCTTGAAACTTTTATTTAGGATATGATTGATAATAGGAATTTAAAATCAGTTAATT